TGATACTTTGTGTTTGTTTAAATAGGAAAAGATGTGTTTGTGTAAATATGAAAAACTACCAGTGTGCATCTTAGATTACAAAACCCCACAAATTAATTACTTAATTTTTAAAAGTCTAATTGATTTTAGAAAGTTAATATTGACTCATGCTGTAGTAATGCTAAGTATTGCTGTCACAGGTAGTTATAAAAACTTGTGTTCATTCTGCCCAAAATGGTAAACAAAGCCCTAGAGTAAAAATACAGACAGAAAGAAAAATCAAGTAAAGCCATTTGAGTTGCAATGCTCACTGTATTCTCTCTTTTATTTTATGGTATTTTCATGTAAAACATTTTATATTTTCACACTCACAAGAAAGATGGAAATATTGTGAGTTATTTGAAAAATCAAAAAATGAGAGATGATGCTATTTTGTAACTCCTTTGGGATACATCAAGTACATATTAAAGAGACACTTAAAACAATTTGCAGACAAATTGGATAATAAAGTCACAGGATTAACTTCACAACCCAAGCAAGTTTAACCGTATATGAACCATACTTATCATGTTTTTAATATTTTATTTAATTATTTATCCAGGATAAAGATTTTCTACAGCCCAACAATACATTTCACTTGATCAAGATTTTCAGTTGCTTCAAACACTGAGACACACACTGTGAAAACCAGAGATCACCAGGCATCAACAAGAGTTTGAATTTGAATACCAGCTCTCATAAAAAATTTGAAAAAAAATACATGTAACTTCAAATTCTGACCAAAAGTTTTTTTGTCTCTTTCTTGTGTCTTTATATTATGAATACAAAGTCCTAATTTTTAAGAAGAAAATGTGAAGGAAAATTAAAGTCCTCAAATTGAACTCAAACTGTAATATCTCAAAATGTAAAGCAAAACATAGACCTGGTTAATCTAAAGTACTGTCAATGCCCACATTAACATTTCATTCTTAAGAGCTAAATTAAAGAGCTCGCCTGACTAATAAAATAGCTGTAAAAATTATATTTGAAACTGACATACTAAAATCCGCACAAGGAGCTATAGCCACACAATTCACTATTTTAAGAAGGTTCAAGTTTTGCCTCTCTAAAACATTCTCTGCAAAAGAAAACAAATCTTGTGAAAACTCTCCCCATTCCCTAAAACCCGGGTGAAGTGTTTATATGTTCTCTCTTAAGCAGGTGATTCACGTTCACCGGTAACTGGTTCATATGGCCAAACACTTGGCTACACTGCCCCATGGCAGATAACGATTCCCTGCTTTTTTCCTACACACAGCTCATCAGATGAGCTTGATCCAAGACACATGTTATGCAAAGCAACTTAATTGGGCTACATTTTTGGAGAAGACAAAGGGTAAAGGCATTATATACTGAGCAGCTTTGTGGTGCCCACAAAATTCAAATACTTCAATAGAAACAAATGGACTTGAGTAAACACACCCTTACATAATACACCATGTTTTTCTACAGCCAGCATAATATGGCCTTAATATGTTCCCTCTGATTCACAAAGGACAAAACAAATCCCCGTCAATAAAGGATTAAGATTGGAGCAGGTCAATTCCTGCTAACTTTAGCAAATATCAATCAACACTTTGCCAAAAATAATAAAAAAATCCTTTTTGATAGAGCACATGTTTCAATTTCAGTGTTAAAGCCCTTCTGCTGTTTCTACACTGGACTATGGAGCTAATAATGCCTAAACTAATCAGATAAAAATTTATCTTGATTCCTTTCACAACATAAAGGAAGAAAATACAGTGAACATTTGACTTATTATATTTATTAACTTTGTAAAAACTCTAGCCCTTATGATTTATAGAACTGGACCCCATCAGTCACTCAGGAAATATTTTGTAAAAATTGTACAGTCTTTCATAAAAGTAATGAAAGACAACATAAAAATTATAAGAGAAATCAAGAAAGTTTTGTTTTATATCAAATAAATGAATCTTCAAGGTAGCATAACTAAACCAAACTAAAGAATAATTTTTAAAAAGTAAGTAAAACTATTGTAGGGGGCACTCCGCAGACTCTTAAAGTAATGTTAGAAGGCTGTAAAGAGAAAACTATTTGTCTTAAAATTTGTATCATTACTAAATAAAGTGTTCCGCTTACATTTTGTAGAAAGCTAAGTAACAAAGAAAACAGACAAACAAAAACCCTAAATAACTATCAGAGTCTAAATGTGAAACCCCCATCTTTACTCAAAATTCTCATAATTTCAGCCATAAATTGCAATTAAGAGTATGATTTCACCCATAGAAAAATCAGTATTTTCATACCCACCTATTTAAATTAGCAAGTAAATGTATATTAGTTAATTTGTATGTAGTTTAAGAATGTCTGTCCAAGTACATCCGTATGTCACAAATATATTTAAATTAGAACCCCATGAGTGTTGGTTCTATTGTGCCATCAGTGAACTTTTTGCATTTCATCAGGGATCTCTCTTTAAAGACTCATGATAAGGTGCAGTCATTTTCCCACATTTGGCATGCAATGTATCTGAAATGCATCTTCAGCTAACACACGTTGACTTTTATTACACAGATTACATGGCTAGTATCATCCATAAATAACACATCTGTAATTCATATTGCAACAGTAAGTGTCTTTAACAGCTCATCACCATCCATATTGTTAAAAACCCTAAAACTGCCTCTTCCCTCATTCAAAGAAAGAAGGGTAATCTTTGTCACATTTCAGAATGTGCCAAAATTTACCCCAGAGTTGCCTAAGTCACCATTTCTTCCTTTACAACTGTTTTTAAGTAAGAATGATTAGACCTTGAATGTCTACTGTTAAATACTGTGTTGGTTTTTGAGCTTAGAAGGCCTTATTCCATACCTCAGCTATTAATTATGGAATCAGTAATGCTTAGCAAAGGATGCATAACTGATTACTATCCAAGTATTTATTTTTATATTTCTCCTTATCCAAAAATACTAAATGGGCCAAAAGTTATTTCAGCTGGAAACCTAATTTTACTTTATCATTGACTTAAACTGGAGTAGAATCAAGCCCTGAAGCACAATAGCACTTTTTTTTTTCCAATCTGTCTTGCTCACAAATCTTCCTGGAGATAAATAACATACTAAACATAGAAAAATTAAAAAAATGCAAGCCAAACCAAAGAATCTAAAAAAGGCATACTTTACATTTTACAAATATTAAACCTATGAATTGAGCTGATAAGAAAGCAAGAGGGAAAATATAAAAGTGACACAGAAATATATTTACTTCTAAACCAGCATCAGATTTCTTTTTTTGAACTTGTTACAACTTTTTAATTTTTTTTAATTAGAAGTAGTAATTGACACTATTTCAAATAACATGATGGTATTTTCAGAAAACCTACTTAATTAAAAAACACTTATTAATATTTTTACTTTAAACCAAAATGGACTTTGAATCGAGATTTCAAATAAATTATTAATTGTTTCAAAGTCCACTGGGTCCTATTCTTTCCCCCTCCAAGAAGGCTAAATTTTCCTCTGTAAAAAATATCAGTGAGTCAAATTTGACCAGATATAGTCAGCTTCTGTGAAAAAGGAGAAAATTTGCAAACAATAAAAATAAAAAATATCTCCAGCCCTATGGAAAGTCCAGTTTAGCTCTCTTTTATCCCAGAAACTCAAAATAACAGATGTACTATAGAGAGCTGCAAAGTATATATGCCACCATTTATTTTACTCAAACATCTAAGGGTCAAAATTCAAGAAAAAAAAAAATCCACATAAAATGAGCAACAAATGCCTCAGAACTTTAATACCTGCATAAGACAAATATTTCATGTCAAGCTTACATTCCATTTCTAAAAAGAGTTTCTCATTTTCACTAACTTGCATCCAGCAATTGAGCAATTATGCAATATGTGGGTGTACCTTGCAGTCGTTTTCTTAACATCTGCATTCTGTGTTAAATTCTAGCTGTACAAGATGTCTGATAATTTTTCTTTATCTTGAACCTTCAAAGTGGTAGGTTTACCAGAGGCAAAATCACACATCAGAGAATATGAGTCATATAATAAAGAAACGACTCTTCCCCTTCTCCCCCTTCCACCCTGAAGCTATAATAACCTAAAGACACTCTCTTGTAAATGCCTACTCTGGTAATATTGATAGCATGTACAACTCACAATCATTTAGCCAATGAATGAAGATTTTTTTAAGTCCTTACTGTATCCATAACAAATTGCTTTCAGTATCATTTTAAGGCAAATTAAAAATTGTGCTACTGCAAAATAAAATTCAGAATGTCTGTGCACTTGCTTTCATATAAAGCATAAAATATGAAACATTCTATGCATGTTCCTATAAATAATAACATAAAAAGATAAAAATAATTTAACATAAGATGCCTATGCAAGTTAATCTGAAAAGTATCTCTCATTTGTCTACAAAAGAGTAGCTTCCATACAGAAATCCTTAATTTTCAAATGATTCCATATCAAAAGAAGGCAACATTTACATACAAGCAAATCACTGCTCATGCCAACTACAGTACACGAGGAAGCAAACCACCACCTTACTTGACCACTGCTTACGCGAGCTTCCACTCGGAAGTGCAGTAAATTTGGGAAACAACACTGAGGCCACTCTAGCCTTTTATTTCCTTTTATATCCTTTTCTGTAGGTAGACAGTAACTCCTCAGGCTAACATCCTGCATCTAATTCCATGTAGGAAATCAGCTTTCAACAAAGTCTTATTTGATGTGTCAATATGTATGATTGCATCAGAAAATTTGCAGAGAACTAAATGCAGAAACAGCAGCATTTACAAACAGCAGCAAATAAATCCATAACAACAAAACCCTGCACCACTAAAACAGGTGCAACCACCACAGTCTTGTAAGAAAGTTAACCAGAGGTGATGCTGGCATAAGGTCTTCACATGACCATCTTCCAAAAAGTAAAAAACCCCAATGTTTCAGTAAATCAAAGTGAAGCAACATGTTCCCCCTTGAAGCAGAATAAATGAGTGGTTTGTATTCTTACCTGTGTATAGTCAAAGTCAGAAAGAGGAGCTATACTCTTGATGTAGTCCATTCGAAATTGGTTTTCTGGGTTGGCCAATGGAACTGGGGGTATTAAAGTGCTCATTGCTGAAACTATAGTCTAGAATTGGATAAAACAAAAAAACAAACACATTAATCTGGATAAACGTGGGATACAGGATCAATAGAAGATAATCCAATCTGATCAGCAAAATGGGATTTCTCTCATCACAATCTTGGAGAGCACAATCCTTCTCATTTCCAGCAAAACCAAGCATTTAAGAACAGTATTAAGTGTGTTCTTACCACAATCGCATCTTTAACATTTTTCCGAATATCCAGTATTTTCTGTTTCTTTTCTCTGCATTAAAACAGAAATATTAACACTTTGATTTTTTCTTCCAAAGCAGTTCAGTCAGTTGCATTTAATTTTTTTCACTGATCGCTTGTTTATCTGCTCTTCAATCATTAAAACATACTAACAGAAAAAAAAAGGCAAGAAAAATATATTTTCCCCTTATCCCTTTTCTTGCACAATATGAAGAGCAATGCACATTCATCCCTGATACATTTTTTTAAATCAGACAATCATGGACACATCTGCAAAGCCTCCCCTGATGGAACTCGAAGTCATTCTTTCATTTCTACAACATGCTGTAAACATGCTTGAAATTAACAACACATAGTTGAAGGCAAACAGATATCTAAAATTAATGCTGTGGATTAATAATGATTTCTGGCAAAGAGTTATTCAGAGAGAAAATGATGTAGCCTCACAAAACAGGATGATTTCTAAAAATATGCAAGATTAGTTTCAGTTTTACGCTAACCCCAACACCGGAAAAACAGCACACACTGTCATCCTGAATATGACTTGACATGTATTTTTATATTACCGACAGATGCAATATTTGGTTATTTGCTTCTATGTAAAAAGTAGTCGCCATGTTGTTGCTACACAGGGGCCTGTCAAGCGCTGCAGTAGCAACAGTGTAAAATACAGTAAAGGGGCCAGAAGGAGAAAATGCAAACATACAATAGCAACAATTTCCTTATTCTCACTCGCCTCCCTCCCTCAAAACGCAGTGTCAAGCCACCAAAACACAGGGGATGAAAGGAGAAATTTCCTAGCCTACTGTATGTTAACCTGTTTCCAACATTTAAGGAAAAATAAGTCACAAAGTGTCAATAATTCTTACTCTGAATTAAATCCATTGACATGTAGGATTCGCATTTGTTTCACAATAGTGCTTTTTCCTGACTCACCAGCCCCTAAAAGAGAAAGAAGGGAGAACATTGTGATACACGGTTCAGGCTGGGGGGATTGGAGTGGTTTTTGTGGTTTTTTGGACGCATCTCCCACCTCGGCAGCATTTCTGTATGTGTGCATCCATGTGGCTCAGGCGCTGAGCTCGATCTGTGGACGCCTCGCTCACTGCTCAATACAACAGCCTACGTTTTTCATACCTAAGGCGCACGCCGCATCTCCCCTCTGCGCATCTCCCCTCTCCGCTCGCCCTGCCGCCCCGGCAGGCTGGGGCAGATGCCCCCTCCTCGCCCTCCTCTCCCCGTCCCCCACCTCTGCCCCTTCCTTCTTACCCAGGAGCAGCAAGCGGTGTGTCGCTTTATAAGCCAGCCTCTCTTTCTGCAACTGCTTCTCTATTTTTTTGTTGGCTTCTCGCTGCGCTTTCTCATCGATACGCTGATCCTCCGTTTTGCTGTTGCCCAAACACCCCATAGCCGCTGCTTAGGGTGGATGTCAAATCGCTGCCTTCACAGATTTAGTATTTACAAGGGGGAGAGGGGCGGGGGGGAAGGGAGGCAGAAGACAAGTCTTTATATCCGTGTGTGTCCCTGCGACGGTCTCTCTCCTCTTCTTCCCCCCCGGCTCGCTCACATAAAATGGTCTCTGGCCGCTTTCCGATCGCAGCGGAGTTCGCTGGTTCGCTCCCCACCAGAGATGCGGCGAGCAGGCGGCAGAGGTGTCCCTGCCCCGGCGGGGAGGGGGTGGGGGGAGAAATCTGTGCAAAAATGCCTAACATGCAACGAGAGGGAGAGAAAAGGGCTCCTCCTGGAAACCAGCCGGGTGCCGCTCTCCGCTCTCCCTCCCCACAGCGCACACAATCCCTATATTTCTCTGTAAAGGTCTATTTTTGTCTTCCTAACTCAGCACTGCCTCTTTCTGCGAGACCAGGAAACAGCCCCGCTACCAGCCCTACGCGCAGGGAAGCCGAAGGAGAAAGGTAAAAGCCGGACGGATCTACCTGGATCTTACGGGGCCGGGGCCGGGGCCGGGAGGCTCCGCGGGGCCCGCGCCCCCCGCCCCGGGCCGCCCCCGCCGCCCCTCACGGCCGCCGCGGCCCCCGCGCCCCGCCAGCGCTGCCGCCGCGAAAACCTGGATCTGGCATCGCCTTCCCGGGACCTGCGGCCTCCGGGCCCCCCGCCCGCGGCCTGGAGGAGGGGAAGGGGCTGCGGGGCGCTGCGCCCGCGGAGCCAGGGGGCCTTTTCCCGATCTTTCCCCGCATTCCTCGGCGGTGCTGGAAGAGCCCGGCCGCTACCAGAGCAAGGGCTGGCACTCCTGGGTCTGAAATCCCAGGCTGGCATGGCCCAGGTGGTGGCTGCCATCGTGACTGACCTGGGGGAGCAGCGCCGGGAGCCTGCCCGTGCCAGCGGGGTGGGGTCTGCGGGGGGGTTGCCCGCGTGTACCCCGACACAGAGGGCACGCACGGGCACAAACACCCCGCCTCGCCTTCTTAACAAACAAAATGTCCCTGTACACAACTTGTCACAGCACCACGCGGGCCGTTTTTTTCCACTGAATATTCCAAACTGTATCAGCTGAACCAGAAAATGAAGCTGTCCAAACAGCTCATGATAATGTTTAATCTGAACATGATAACATGCATGCTAATATCACCACAACAACAAATCTCAAAAAGAAACCGTATCCTTATTCCTTCATTTACCTCCATTTTAGGTCCTAAAATGAAACTTCAAGCTAGACAACCTTATAATTGCTCCTTCTTGCTACAAATCTCTTGCCTTGGTAACTGGCATCTCAGTGCAAAAGCAGCTGTAAAGCACCTGGCTCCTCCTAAACTTCCACTGTGTAGAAACCACCTGCACAACTCAAATGTGATCCTTGATACACTGAGGCACAAGAGCACTAGAAAAAGGATAGGCATGACTCTGAAGTCCCGACGTACTTTCAGCTTTTATCTCCAAATATTATTATTTCCCCATACTTCCAAAGATGGATTACTTAAAAATTAGTATTTTGATAGCTACATATGTGTGCGAAATCCTGTCCTCAACTGAAAACAAAGAGAGATTGGCATCAACTTCAATCAAACAAAACAGCATTTTAATCTAAAAAGTCTTGAGATGCGCATGGTGGCAAAAAAGAAACTGGGTTACAAGCAGACGGATTTAGTTTACTTTTTTTGAGTGGCTCTCTTTTAAGGGTGAGAAGTGCTGAAAGTGGTACTGTCTACTTTGAGGAAGAGGAAGGTGAACAGGGCAGGACCCAGAAAAGAAACAGGTACTGCTCCACCTCTGGTTGGGTACCTTGAGTTTTCAGGAGATTACGGAATTCAAGTGCCAGATATGTGGTTTTATGGTACTCCTTGATCTAGGCTCTGGAAGCTGTTTTTATCTTCCTTCTTACATAGGTGGGGGAAGTAGTGGTGGGGAGGAAGGCAACACAAATAAAAATTGACAGGATCTGCCAGTCTGAAATATGCATTTTTTAAGCATTACTGAGCTGCATTTTTTAGGACAGACTGGTTTTTTCCTATTGATATTTTCCTGCCCGAAGAGGCAAAAAGCACCTGAGATACAGATAGGTTTAGAAGCCCAATTCAGGATGACTGCTGTTTTTGGAGGCTGTCAGACACAGGATATATGATGAACAGCTTTTGTGAAGAGCAGTCATGTTTTCTCCCTGGCACAGCACTGTGAGGGCTCAAAACTGAACTATCTTAGTTAGAAATCACTCACTGGGTCTGAATTTTCATAGTTCTTCAGTGTCAGAAGCCATAATTTATGATGCACAAGATTTGTGTAGCCATATTTATTTCCTATGTAAATACCTCAGTTTGAGACCTAGGTCCCGAATCCGGCTAGTGTCAATCAGAACTAGGAGCTAAATCTGCCTTGTTTCTTCCCCTTCTCTCCTCAGCAGTTTTCTTCCTGCACGTACTAACATTGGGATTTTTGGTGCAGATTTGTTCCCAGCTTTAAAACGGCTCAGTGCCAATAAATAGAATTTGACAGGATCCTGGTATATCCTGCTTTTACCTTTCTCCAAAAGAGGGAAAGTGTTTCTCATTTCCTCTCTCCCCCTCGAAAAACCCCATGACCCCTTTGGGTCTCTTCCTCCTGAGAAAAGATCACACAGTTCAAGAATGACACGCGCAAGCAACCTGTGCCCAGAAAGAACTTTTGGCTGTAATTATATTCCAAACCCTCCCTTTGCTTTTCCCAAACACAGCACTTATCCTGACATAATCGAACTACAAAATCCTAGAAGCAATAATAAACACAAGAGAAATTTTCTCCCCCTTGGGACACAGCTTTTTTTTTTTTTCTAGAGAGAAATCACAGCTATCACATGAATATGTCTCCTCTGCACACAGATAAATCTAAAACTCTGTAAAAGGTTTCAGCAGTGCTGCTTCACCAAACCAGCTTCTAGTACAAATTGTACATGGGAATAAAAACAAAATCCTGGACAAAGGAAAAGAGACTCTTCCTCCTCTTCCCCTCTCTTCCCAGGCAACCAATGTGGGATCCTCCTTGAGTTCCTAGTCCTCCTGAAAATGAGGTATTTCATGTTGCCTCTGCTCCTTCAGATCAGGCAACATATGTATACATACATACATATATTTATATATGCACATATATATAAATACACACTGAGTGGGTAAGTGTGTGCAAAAATGAGATTCATTTTCTACTTCATGCTCAAGCTTGGTGCTGTCCCATCGTGAAACCAGGCCATACATCATAAGCCCTCGTGGAGGGAAACCGGAGACACCTTTATTTCCTGTTTTCCTTTGTGAGTTCCCACCTCAGGTTGCACTGTTTGTGAGCCTCAGGCTGAATGTTGAGGAGCCCAAGTCGCTTGCGTGAGGCCATGTTTGCATTCTTGTATGGAAGAGGATTGAGAGACCAGCTGAAGCCAAGTTCAAGCAAACAGCCATACTGGGAGGCCACCCCTGCCACAAAGTCAGTCTTGTTTCTCATTCCTATTCTGTTTGCGGTAAGGAGGGACAAAAACCCAGTGAGAATTAACAGGGAGCTCCTACAGATGCAGCTCGAGAGACCTGGTTGTTCCTTGCCCCTCCAGTCCAGAGCAGGACTGATGGAGAGCTTTTTCTTGCAAACATGAGGTAGAGGTGGAGAAAGTTTCTCTACAGAAACCCTGCACACCCTTTGCAGACCATCTTCCCTTTGCCCAGCCACTATTGTGGCTTTGGTTCCATTTCTCAAAAAAAGAGCAAATGGAAAGACGGAAGTAGTTAAAAGCATAGGGGGGATCTAAGCAACTGGTAAAGAGATTCTTCCTCCTTGACACTCTTCCTGCCTCAGGGTCTCTGAACTCTCTGCTGACACCGTCCCCAAGTATGGGCACTGCACTAGGTGGGTAACATCGTAGTGACCTGACCTGGTTCTCCTCACTGGCCTCTCTTTTTCATGTAGCCCATCACTGCAAATCAGGATATGCAACTCACCAGCACCTGTGGTTTTTACTCCACCTCATCATCAAACTAGGGTCTGAAAAGAGAAAAATAAATCGCTATTTGCATAGGTATTCAAGAAAAATAATTCTTTCTCTTTGGTAAGTTTGTCTCTCTGCAGATGTCAAATATTAACACAAAAGTACATCCTCCGTGGAAGGCTACATTTGGAGTTTTATAGGATACATGAACAAGGAACCACAAAAATTATGACTCTGTCTGTATTAAAAACACTGAGTAAGAGTCCAGAAAATACAGAGCACATACTTTGCAGAGAAGTGAATGTTATGCTAAAAAAAACTAACCTTCATCCTTTTGTTTAAACCCATGACATTAAAAAAGTCATTAAAAGAATTTTGAGAGGAGCTCATCTGTTTTGAGAAGCAGGATGGGAAAGATGCCAGAGAAGGTGAGGTATGCATTTCCACAGTGATTGTGGACCTGATCCCGAATCACCTTCACATCCATGGATTAAGGATAAATTCACTCATGCAGAAGAGGGTCAGGCAATGCTAAGGGGCATGGCCATGCTCTGAGTAGTTCCTTGGCTTCCTGACACAGTTTACTGTTCCCATTCCCATGCCATACTCCTTTACTTGGCAGCTGTCACCATGTAACTCACCTGATAAACCAACTTATCCCTTGCCTATTGCTCTCCCACAAACCACAACCTGCCTCATTTCTGTGCAGCACAGACAATCAGCAAAAGGGAGAAAGGAGGTGAAGTGATTTTGGAGAAGACTGTGAACTAAATGTAATAGAGTCTGAAGAGAAAGAAAAGTTTTCCAGAGAAAAGCCGCAGGCACCAGCCCACAGAAATGACAGTGATAGCCTTTTGCCCCGAGAAAGCATTTGTGAAGGGAAGGATTAGCTCTAAGCAGGAAGCAGATGCTCCTGGGGAAGCCTGCATGGAAAAGCATTAGGTGAAAAGCAGATTTGCAGTATGACTGCACTAAAGAAAGAGGGCAATCCTCTTTCATTCAAGCTAGTTATTCCTTATCCAAGCTAGTTATTCCTCACCCATATCCTGCAAGAAAGCAGAGGGAACAAGGAACTTCTGCTATGGCCATCGCTCTCAGCTCAGGGTTTCCCTTTAGATTCTTATTGGTAAAATAATTCCGGTGTTTATTACTTGTCTTTTATTATTAGAAATTCCTTATCTATGAAGAGAGACTCTCATGGCAGCACTCCACACATGTCCATCTGTTGGTACCAGAGGCAGAAGCTGCTGATTGAAACTAACATAAATCCAGGAAGGTCCCAATAGCATTTAAAAGACTAAGTAACCTCCTGTGGTTTAAATATTCTTACATATTACAATGAAATAACATTGTTAAAATGACGTGGATGCTTTTGCAATAAGCAAAAGGAAAACCTCATTTGACGAATTTGCAAGACTGTTACAGGATATCTTACAGTTTTGGCAAAACAGGAGGCACTTTTATGACAATATCCCAATTTATGGAGAATTTCAATTGGCTGGACGCTCCAAGGGCACTTTCCCCTCTTCCCCTGCAGCCCCCCCACCTCCCCAACTAAGCAAAGTAATACATTCCCATTTTAAGGCAGTGGGAAATTAGTTCTAATCAGATGTTTAGGAGAGCCCTCAGGATTAAAGAGATTTAAATAAAGCCAGGCAAAACATGCTAATATTGCCTTAATTTATAAGAGAATTCATCAATAAATAAAGAAGTCAGCTAGAATTATAGCTAAGTTACCACATTCAAAAAATGGGGAAAGTCTGTACAGGAGACATGTCCTGGACTCTTTGCCACATGCTGACTTAACATCTTGCAGAGCGGTAACAGCAAAGCCAAATCATTTGTCTGCAGCTTATAAAGGGTTTTGTCTGTCATATAAAATTTTGCATTTAATAGTAAATGCTCAGGCCGATTATCATGATTTCCCTATTTGGACAGGAATAAAAAACTGGAAAGAAAACCAACTTGTGAGACACTGAACATATGTGAGATGTGCCTTAACCTCACCTTTAACTCTGAGGCACATGCCTGAGCAAAACACTCACAGTCACAGTATGCCTGCCTCCACCCCTAGTTCATTAGACAACATTCTGCCGAGCTAGACCGTCTCTACATTCACCACAAACACATCTGACCTGTGCTTTTTGTTTGCATTACCCCTTTGCCTTTATATAAATGTAGAGATACTTTTTAGTTTCTTCATTAGTGTTTTAACTCCTTCACTTGAGAAATTAAGCTTCAGCTATCCCAGCAAATGATTGATTTTCAAAAAAAAAAAAAAAGAAGAAGAAAGTCTTTACATAGTTAAATTACTGTCATTCAAACTCAAAGTTATGCTCTAATTCTTATGCGTGACTGCATGGTCAATGGTATCCCTTAAGAGAAAATTCTTACAAATAAAGAAGATCCACTTTAACATGAATCAAGGAATTCTGTAACTGCTTCCTAGCCCTGTTTAAAGATCCCAACATGTAACTACACACAAAAGCAACTAGGAAAAATTGGCTTCTGGAAATAATGTTGCCAATATGTGGGTAGCCTCATGCACTCACTCCCTGATTTATATCAATAATATTTAGCACAGAAACACAGCTTTTGCTTGACTGCATGACTATCAAATCCACATAAAATATCAAAACT